CATTATTTATCTTCTTCCTTGCCCACACGCTTTCACCTTTAGGATTTTTAATCAAAGTATGCAGAGATTTTTTTTTGTTGATTTCTCAGATATTCAGAAAGCTTAAGGATGCTGGGTTTTATCACTTTTAATATGAAAGCAACCAATGCATTCACTTTCCATGGAAGAGTTTGCATTCCCTCCTCCCCATGCTCTACTGATAACCATGTGCTCATACAGAAAAAAAATGAAATTAATATATTTACTCAGCCACTGAGCTGCAACCAGCAAGAAGTATTGCTTAGTATCCCCAGTCCAGAAAATACCTTCCCACTGCCACTTCTTCTTGAGTACTGTTAGACTTTCCAAAGCCACCACTTCCACCCTTTCACACAGCTCAGTATTTCCCCTTGCCAACTCCATGGCATGTCCACCCTAAAGCGCCCTTGACTGGCCAGTTTTAAGTTTTGGACAAAGAGTAGACTCAGTGTGGTGGCACAAAAGGTGCCAACTGAATGTAAAGCTTTAAATGTGGTGCTGCAGCAGCAGTCATGGCCTATTTCCACTCAAACCTCCCATAACCTTCATTTTTAAAGTTCCTTATTCACTTAATTACAGTTGTAAGCCTCTCTTTACCTTGTCCCTCTGCTAATCTAATTCACTGTGTCCTCTTCGAAATTAGATGGTTGAGTTCATCACTGAAACTCATGAGTGAACTTTTAATCTCATTGGGTTGTCAAAATGGGAGGGCAGAGGTGCCAGCATGGACATTCTCAAGTCCTGGTAAAACGTTATTGCAGCTCATTTGTCAGTTGCAGGGTATTTTATGAGGTGTCCCTAAGGAATACCAGCCTCTTCTGCCCCAGGCCTGTGTCCTTGCTAAGCAGAGAGACTGTCCTCCCAGTAGGGACTGGGTCTTTGCACGGGCTTTATTGTACCCCCTATTGGTTATAGTCACTAATGCCTGAGTAACATCTCAGATTAACGTTTGGCAGGAACACCTTTAGCCACATGACTTCTTGGGGAGTACATTTCAACCCAAAGCAAACACATTTCCCCCTTCAGACAGCCTCAAGGCTGTTTGAATGCCCTGTGGTGTCGGAATCTGTGGGTATTGGTGATTCCGAGATTGTAGAAAGTCTCTGTCTGTCAGCCCCACTGCCAAAGCAGAAGCCATAATTGGTCTGTGCTGTTTCAAGGTTGTTTATTCTGTTTATCTCTAACATGTTCTGCTGAACACCACAGTGAAACATGGAGAGCATGAAGAAGGAGAAAAAGGACAAGACACACCCAATTTCCTCCATCTTGTCCCCTTTGGACCCCTAATCTAGAATCCTAAAATTTTACTTTTGCACCCGTGCCACACTTAATTATTACTTATATCAAACACTCAGAGCTTGTAATTCATCCTGTAAGATTGAAAACTCTTTTCCATGGACAGAGATCACAGCCAGTGTCTCTGGGGGCTCTGTCCAGGGGGGTTCCTGACCCCTGCCAGGGTCCCAGACCTGCCAGGGCAGCCAGAGGGAAGCCCTGGATTCCCACACTGTGGGATGAAGAAGGGGTTGAAATTGTTGGACACAAGTTTATTCTGGGTGTGCAGTTCCATAGTACTTTCTCTCACGCTGCACTGGCTGCTGCAGGGAATCACCTTCTCACTCAGACATGTGAGACTGAGCCTGAAGGGGGTTGCTGCAGAAAGGTAAAGTGTTCATTCTACTACAAATGGAAAAAATCGCCAGGGACCTTGCTTCTGGAGCCTGATCTGCTAAATGCTGTATTTAGAGTTGCCCTGTTCAGCTGCCAACAAGCACCACGACGCTGAGGAATCTACATTCTGGCTACTCAGCGAGTGCCACATTAGCAGCACTTTCTGCTCAGAGCTCCCCATCACCTCCACAATTAAAACACTGAGATCAGTACCATCTAAAACAAGTTTTCAGGAAGTCTTTCCTGAAGAGAGGAATGCCTATCTTTTGGAACTGTTCCATATATACACACTAGAAGAGGCAATGCGTCACTGCAGTGCATGTATGTTTGTGCACATAGACATACACACTGTAAAGAGATTTTTGTTTTGAAGCTGAAGTAAGGCGCATTTGCCAGCACATAAATTAAAGGCAAGGAACTATATTAGGCAGGAGAGCCAGAACACAGACCTGCAGGGAAACATCACTCTCTCATCTGAGTAACAGAGTCTGCTGATTCCTGAAAGCAGCTTTCTCTCTCCTCTAACACAAAATTTCCTGTCTTTAAAGGCAATCCACGAGGATTTGCTAGGAAAAAAACATGAGGGAAGCATTCCTCCTGCAGCAATGCTGCTGGAGCCTAATAACCTTAACCAGCCTTGGGTGTCTCCGTGCTCCAGCCCTGTATCTGCTCTTAACTCATTCTGCAAGAGCTACTTAAGCTAATTACGCTGGAGAAGACACCTCAAGACTGGTGTTGGTGGAATTGGGGAAGGGTGGACAACGAAGAGCTTTGCCATGTGTCCTAGAGGACAAAAAACATTCTCTCCTGCCTTAAAAAAGATAATCTCCACATGTGTGAGAGCCAAGCCAGGGAAGCCACGTCCCGCCGAGCAGCTGGGTTGAGTGCATGGGAAGAGTGAACAGTTTTGCTTTTAATTCTTGCAGCAGAAAAATGGGAGAGCATCTGTGAAATGAGCCTGGCAAAGCTTTTTCTTGATTTGCCTATGGGACACGGTGAGAGCTGGCGATGGGATGAAATAAAGAATTTCAGTAGTGCTTCAGGAAACTTTTGCTACATAAGAAAAGAAAAAATATACATAAAAAGAGGCAAATCCCTTCTGAAGTCATATGCATTCCTGTAACTTTCAGTCATTGTAAAGAAAGTTCTTCAAATGGCAACTTAAGCAAAAGGAATAATTCTCCACAATAGATCTTTTTACACCTTTTTCTGAAATGTTTATTTTAATCATTCAGGGGAAAAGATAATAAATAGAGAAGCAGTAAGAGTCAGTATGATAATAGCACAGACATTTCCGGACATTTCTGAAAGCACACAATTGGTAAATGGTACAAAAATGATCACTGAGGTCTAAGGCAGGCTGGCAGGCTGTTTTCTGACCAGACATGTACATGTAATTTGGATTCCTGCCTTTTGCAGGACGATAGCGATGAACTACTTCAGCCGTTGCTGCCTGCAGTTTTGAGCATTACAGGAAGGCAGAATGCTTATTCTTTTGGAAGATGAATGGAGTGTAAGGAGAATGGAAATAGTTTTTCATGGTGACACACCGAGCAAATCATCAGCAGAAATCCTGCCACTTTGCCAGGCAGAGAGGAGCTGTGCAGTGCTGCTCTCCCAGCCTTTGTTGTGCCACCTCAACAGGCTCCAGAGAGCCATGGGGACAGAGTAAGGACATGTCAACTCTCCAGATTTGCACACATTCTCACTTGTAGCCGAACTGAATCTCCCAAGTATTCCTTTGTGAAATGGACGTTTTCAGTAGGTGGTTTTCAGAGCATCTCTGGTTTTCAGCTGAAGTGCTGGATGCCATCTCTCATGCATCAGTCTCCTGCCCCAGGCAGTCCTGCCTCAGGAGTCCCACTCCTGCTGAAACCTGGAAGACACTGCAGCATGATGCACTGACAAGAAACTTCGGCTTCACTAAGCCTTCACTAAACTGTGACACGTTTGCATTTCAACAAAAGAGTTCTAGCTAGCTGCAACCCCAAACAGAGGTGTGACTTTCAGGCCCAGTACAGTACAAATTACAAGACAACAGCATGTCTGATTGCTATATAGCAGAGTGGAAAGGACAGCAGGAGTGTAGTTGATAATAATATGAATCCTGACCACACCACAGAGGGGCGAACAAGGACACTTGATTGCATTCCTAAAAAATTACAAAGCAATGCCTATAGGAAGCTTTATAGTAACTCCCCTAAGATAGCGCTTATTCCACATTTGTCTTTCAGATCTGGCTCATCCCCACCTCTGGATGATGTGTGTAAACCATCAAAATACGCAGAATCGGATTTTTGAAGCAAGCAGTAAGAAACGGGTTTGTGTAGGGGTGACTTTCGTTCTGACTTTATTTAATCTGCAAAACCCTACAGGCATGAAAGCAGGTCTGGGAAAACCCCAGGTCTTGGCACAGCACTTTTGTCACTGCTGTCAGCAGCCCCAAGGAGTCAAGGACATCTCTGCAGGGTGGGAGGTCAAGAAGAGATGTTAACTCTGAAATTACATATAACTAGAAGAAGGAATTAAATAAAGGGAAAAATCTATCTCCTCTTTAGTTTGGCAGTCTAAATGGTACAGAATCACTCCAGCCACAAAAGGGAAATAGCACCAATCATGTCAGATTTGCTAAGTGTATTCCATCATCTGCAGTCTTCCTCTTTCAGAGAGAAAGCAACTAGGGAGATCCATTGACACATCCAGATTTCAAACCCTGACTTCTGCAGGAGCGGCAGTGCCCCACACACAGCCCCCTCAGTGCCACCGGCGCTTTTTCCCTGGGGGTTTTACTGGAATTCCGCCAAGCACGGGCTGTTGCCTAGAACTGCCCGCTTCCGAGCGGGATGCGAGCGGCTCCGCTGGGGCGAGCGGCCGGGAGCCGGACCGCGTTCCCACAGGGAGAAACCGGACCGCGTTCTCCACGGGAGGAAACCGGACCGCGTTCTCCACAGGGAGAAACCGGACCGCGTTCTCCACGGGGGGAAACCGGACCGCGTTCTCCACAGGGAGAAACCGGACCGCGTTCTCCACGGGGGGAAAACGGACCGCGTTCTCCACGGGGGGAAACCGGACCGCGTTCCCACAGGGATCCGGACCGCGTTCCCACGGAGGGAAACCGGACCGCGTTCCCCACGGAGGGAAACCGGACCGCGTTCCCCACGGGGGGAAACCGGACCGCGTTCCCACGGGGGGAAACCGGACCGCGTTCCCACAGCGGGACCGTGTTCCCCACGGGGGGAAACCGGACCGCGTTCTCCACGGGGGAAAACCGGACCGCGTTCTCCATGGGGGGAAACCGGACGGCGTTCCCCATGGGGGGACCCGGACCGCATTCCCACAGCGGGACCCGCACCGCGTTCCCCACGGGGGGAAACCGGACCGCGTTCCCCACAGGGAGAAACCGGACCGCGTTCCCCACAGGGAGAAACCGGACCGCGTTCCCCACGGAGGGAAACCGGACCGCGTTCCCCACGGAGGAAACCGGACCGCGTTCTCCACGGGGGGAAACCGGACCGCGTTCCCACAGCGGGAAACCGGACCGCGTTCTCCACGGGGGGAAACCGGACCGCGTTCTCCACGGGGGGAAACCGAACCGTGTTCCCCACGGGGGGAAACCGGACCGCGTTCCCACAGCGGGAAACAGGACCGCGTTCCCCACAGCGGGACCCGGACCGCGTTCCCCACGGGGGGAAACCGGACCGCGTTCCCCACAGGGATCCGGACCGCGTTCCCCACGGGGAGAAATAGGACCGCGTTCCCCACGGAGGAAAACCGGACCGCGTTCCCCACGGGGGGAAACAGGACCGCGTTCCCACGGAGGGAAATCGGACCGCGTTCCCTACGGGGAGAAACCGGACCGCGTTCTACACGGGGGGAAACCGGACCGCGTTCCCCACGGGGGGAAACCGGACCGCGTTCCCCACGGGGGGAAACCGGACCGCGTTCCCCACGGGGGGAAACCGGACCGCGTTCCCCACAGCGGCCGGGAGCCGGACCGCGTTCCCCACGGGGGGAAACCGGACCGCGTTCCCCACGGGGGGAAACCGGACCGCGTTCTCCACGGGGGGAAACCGGACCGCGTTCCCCACAGAGGGAAACCGGACCGCGTTCCCCACAGCGGGACCCGGACCGCGTTCCCCACGGGGGAAACAGGACCGCGTTCTCCACGGGGGAAAACCGGACCGTGTTCCCCACGGGGGGAAACCGGACTGCGTTCTCCACAGGGGGAAACCGGACAGCGTTCTCCACAGCGGGACCCGGACCGCGTTCCCACAGCGGGAAACCGGACCGCGTTCCCTACACGGGGACCAGCACCGCGTTCACACAGTGGGATCCGCACCGCGTTCCCCACAGCGGGACCCGGACCGCGTCCCCACAGCGGGACTGCATTCCCACAGCGGGACCGGCACCGCGTTCCCCACAGCGGGACCCGCTCCGCGTCCCCACAGCGGGACCCGCTCCACGTTCCCACACAGGGACCCGGACCGGGTTCCCCACAGCGGGACCCGCACCGTGTTCCCACAGCGGGAGCCGCTCCACGTTCCCCACAGCGGGACCGCTCCGCGTTCCCACAGCGGGACCCGCTCCACGTTCCCCACAGCGGGACCCGCTCCATGTCCCCACAGCGGGAGCTGGCGGCTCGCAAGGCGGGCCCAGCGCCGCGCCCGCTCTGCCCTCTGGCGGCCGCCGCGGCACCCGCAGCGCTGCGCGTTCACAGCGGCGCCGCCACCGGGAGCGCGCACGGGACAAACCCTCTGAATAATTAGGGGTCGTTGGGGTTTTTTCATAGCAAAGAAAAAAAAGAAAAAAAAATCAGGATTTTTTTTTCTGTGGACTCAAAATGGAAGCTTTTTGCCTTCAAAACAAATTGAGATAACAAATTTATTAAAAAGAAAAAAAAAAGAATCTGGCAAAACAAAACACGATTTCACTTTTGAAAAGCCTCTCTTAGTTTTTTGTTGTTTGTACTTTAAAAAGTTCACATTTGTCAAAAAACTTTCACAAAATCAAAGAATTATGGCGTTGGAAGGGATCTCTGGAAATAATCCCATCCACTCCCCTTCCCCTGGAGCAGGTTGCAGAGGAACTTGTCTAGGTGAATTTTTGAATGTGTCCAGATAGGGACACTCAGTGACCTCCCTGAGCAGCCTGTTCTGGTGTTCTGCCGCTCAACAGTGTCCACATGCCAGGCTGACCTACAAGCTGTTGATGTAAATACATACTATTCCTTCTGACTGAAGGAGTTGACTCTTAATTTGATGGAGCAGACCAAATTTGTTGCACTGAAACCCACATGCATAGCAGACTGATTAGATACAGCTGAAATTTCAATAATGTGTCTAATGGACCTCAGTGTAGGTTTCTGTGAGAGTTTCCAGAGAACTTCAAGCTCTTTAATTGATTACACTTTCTTGACGTCATTAGCTAACATTTTCTGCTTGTAAATACTGAAAGGTAAAATGTTTGAGATGCTATCTCAATTTTGGAATCAAGCTAGAAGGATAAGGATTTTTGTGGCACTGTTACAAAATACTGGAAAAGGGAAGTGCAGTAACTCCTTTTTCTACAAATATAAAGTAGGGTCATTTTTCACCGGAAAGCATCAATTGCTTCTAAATAAATAGATGAAAGTAACAATGGACACCAGGCACCAACCAAAGCCTCTCTGTCACTTCCCTCTGCAACTGGACAGGGAAGAGCAAATATAACACAGAGTTCACAGGTTGAGAACAGAGAGAGATCACTCACCAAATCAAGCTGGGCGAAACTAACTCAGCTTGGGGATATTAATTGAATTTGCTACTAACAAGATCAGAGTAGTGTGATGAGAAGTGAAATAAATCTTAAAAACACTTTCCCTCCACACCTCCCTCCTTCCCAGCTCTCGCTCCTGCCCCAGCAGCACAGCAGACAGGGAATGGGGGTTATGGTCAGTTCATCACAGGTTTCTGCTGATGTTCAGGGAGAAGAGTCCTTCCCCTCCTCCAGGGGGTCCCTCTCACAGCCACCAGCTCCCCATGAGCTGCTGCCAAGCGGGTCACTCCTCCGTGGTGCCATCCTCCAGGCACAGCCTGCTCCAGCTCGGGTCCCCACGGGGCACAAATCCTCCCAGGAGACCTGCTCCGGTGTGGGTTCCTCCCTTCAGAAGGCTGCAGGTTCCTGCCAGGACCTGCTCCAGCCTGGGGCTCCCAGGGGCTCCCAGCCCTGTCTCAGGCACCACCTGCCCTGGCCTGGGTCTCCTTCCCGGGCTGCAGGTGGGTCTCTGCTCCCCGTGGATCCCCGTGGGCTGCAGGGCACAGCTGCCCCACCACGGGCTGTGCCAGGGGCTGCAGGGGAATCCTGGAGCACCTCCTGCCCCTCCTGGCTCTGTGCTTCCTCTCACATACCCTCACTCTGCTCTTCCCTGCTCACAATTTCTTCCCTGTAATAACTTCTTCTTCTTCCTCTCAAATCTGTTCTCACAGAGACATTGCCACCATTTCTGAGTGGCCCAGCCCTGGCCAGTGGCACCTCTGTCTCAGAGCCATCAGGGACTGGCTCTGTTGGACAGGGAGGATGCTTCTGGCAGCTTCTCACCCCTACTACCAAAACCTGTCCGTGCAAATTCACTAGGAACATAAATACAGAAATGGCTGGAGTGCTTTGGACCAAAAACTCTTGCATGCTTGTGGAATCGCCCTCTGACTTTTCTGAACCACTTGAAATTCAAGCAGATCCGTTCCAGGCCAAACTACCGTAGAAACTTTTAATAAATAAACAAACACCCCTGCCTTTTGTCAGATTCAAGGCTGCAGGAATAGAGAATTGGCTTTCTTACAGCCAATGGCCTGTTAGATCATGTTTGGCTGTGAAAAGGAAACTGAGCAGTGAGTGTGTCTATTATATGCGGTTTCCTTTGAATCCTGAGCTTGAATAAAGGAATTATTATTTTTCTTCTGAAGGAGGAATAAAAAGCGGGTAAGAGGCAAGTGGAGGTGCTTCCTAGATAATCAAGCCCTCCTTTTGTCCCTTCCAGCAGCATTTTATTTGCAAATGCCCATTCTGCACAAGCTGTAAAAGGCCTAGCCTTCTAACAATGCCATGTCCTCATTGAGGCTGACCTGGAGTGAACCTCTATTTACCAAACATAAAGATGCTAATTATTTTGTGTATAGGCCTTAACATGATTACAGAGAGCATGGACACTGGTTGTTGTTATAGCAATCTGAATTAAATTATGCTCATGCCAGCATAATTAGGATTCCCCTTACCAGTTTATTGGGCTGTTTTTAATGTCGCATGGTAAAAATAATGGCAATTTCACTTTTGCACCAACTAAAGCATGCAGGCAGAGAGACTGAGAAAATTGATGAGGTATCTTGGTCAAACCCTGAAAAGGGAGGTGGTCAGGGTCTTATGCAAAGCCCAGAGATGGCTTTCCTGCCCGTCTGAGACACTGAGCCCCTGCCCACACCCCTGAGCAGTGCACGTCCTGCAGGTGCCAGCAGGATGGGTCTCATCTGCTGCTGTCCCCATCTCCGTGGCCACAACTCCTCTGCCTCCATCCTGGGAAACTGTGCTGCAGCTGTATCACACAGCTTTGGGAACAGCCGAAGGTGAAAGAGCATCTCCTGCCTCTTTTCTGCTGTCCTGGAGGACACTTTGTCGAAGCCTCCTGAGAGCCAGGCCATTGATGCCAAAGCAGTCAGGAGGAAAAAGGTGTTATTTTCCCACAGGAGCTACAACTCCAGCATGAGTAACTTGGACATGGAGTTTGGCTCCTAAAAGAGATGTTACTCCATCAGAGTGTGAGTCTTGTGGTGCATTTAAAGTCAGTGTGGTCATTTTTACAGCAGAAAATCACTGTGTCAGATACTTGGTGGGAGGCTCCACTTCCAGAAACATAAATGCACCAAAGTCTAGGCAAATGTATTGTAGCATATGGGATGACACACACATATTTTGTATTACACAAGTTCTTAAGGAATTAATGAATTTTTGAAACCAGGGATTGCAGTTCATTCAAATTTACTTTCATTTCCAGCACTTTGCATAATTTGATGTCCTGAATATATTCAGGAAATCTTACAAAGTCAGAAACAAGCAATAAGGTCAAGCTAATGTACAGACAAGTATAACACATCTACTAGATGCTTTCCAGGAATCCACTTGGAAAGTTTCTGAATATATGACCCTGTTAGACAGGGCTTATGTTTGCTAGGATCACAGTGAGCCACAAATGTGACAGGGGCTGTGAGGGAGCCAGGGGACTTCCCATGCAGCAGAGATCACTGATCTAAGTGGTCTGACACTGTCTCTGGAACTGTGAAAGACTGTGATAACAGCAGAGCATCAAATACCAGCTTCCTTGGTTTTCACTACATTCCATCCCCCCCATGAACAGTAAAATGAAAAAGGAAATATTACCTCAAAGGCCTGTACTTTGAAGCATACATTTACATCATACAATTGCCATATAATCAGCAGCATTAATTGCCATAAGAATCATGTATTGTGGGAGAAAAACTCTTCTATCAGCAAGTAATTCCTTTTGGGGGGATTTGGCAGGCTCAATCAAGTCTTATCAAAACTGCCCACCTGATGGCTCATGTTGGATTTTGCTCCTACTTCACAGCACTGCTGGGACAATGCCAGTGGGGAAATGCTCAAGGGCCTTATTCAAATCCTGTATGGCTTCAGTGTTCCGTGGAAAGCAAGAGCTGGGGAAGACTTTTCTTGGAAATGGGATCATCACCCAATACATTCATGTTGTCAGGAAACATCCTCATCTGTCCAGCTCTGTTATTTTCTCCAAGGTGACCTACGGATTGCATCCATTGCAGGCTGGAGTGTCAAACCAGCTCACAGGAGGCTGCCCCACTGTGTGGGGAGCCCACACACCCTACCAGAGTCTCCACAGCACTACCAAAAATTATTTTTGGTAAACCCTTCCAGGGATAACACTAACTCTGGTGTCTCCCACCACCCATTGTCAGTAGCTTTATTCTCCTAGCAGCCCAAGGAAAGTTTCTCTAGGACCCAAGCAGGCCTAGGATCCAGACTGCCAGGGCTTTGCCTTCTCTGGATGATGAGCTCTCTCCAGCTCCAGGAAACAGGTTATTTTGGCCCCTGGCTCCTGTACTTGAAGGAGCCAGTCCAGAGGTGCTTCTCAGCCTCTCACCTAGTAGCAGGGAGGAAGAAGGGTGATGGAGGTGGAGGAATGCACAGCAAAGCTACAATTGCCCCCTTCTAAGGTGCTGGAACTCAAAATGTCCCTCAGACATTTTCAGAAGTTCCAGACCTTGGTCAGAAGCATTTGAGACCCTGGCAGGCAGCTGGAAACAGCTGTGATTTTGGGTTTGAGCCATGGAATGAGTTGCTGGCTTTGAAGGTGGAAAAAGTGGTCACAAAGGGTTAGATAGTATAGTAGAAGTAGTTACAAAATAGAGGGGAATTTTTTTTTAGTATTGTACGGGGGGGTTTAACACCTGTACAGGGGGGGTTTACTTTGTACATGGGGGTCAGAAGCTCTAAGATGGAGGAAAGTGGGCAGATCCTGTTCTTCCTCCTTCTTCCTTGCCTCCATGTTCTTGGTGATGCTGGCACTTATGGATTGGTTTAGAGTAGAAAAGCACCTTGTAACATAGGTAGTAGGTATTGGGGGAAAACTGTAAACATGAAACACGTAATGTGCCATATAAAAGATAGAAAAGCACCATTTAATATAGGTAATAGGCATTGGGGAAAAACTGTACCCATGGAACACGTAATGTACCATATAAAAGAC